AGTAAGAAAAACCTTAATAAATACGAAAGTACTGTGTGCAATGCTCAATAACTTAAGTACTTGAACTAAGAATAGAGTACTTGTGTGTGTTTTGCATGATCATCTATAAAAGACTTCTGATTTCTGTTGGTTAGCAATTATGACAGCCTGCTAATGAAAGAATCAATCAAGAGTATGTTACTTGGTTTCAAAATCTGTTCTGCATGTAAATAATAATATAAAAGAACTGATTAAGAGAAAGAATAAGTATGCCACAAAATTTGCAATAGTCTGTTGCTTTGTAAAAGATGTTTTGTTACTTTTGTTCTTTATGAACTGTTTTGCATTAAAAAAAAAGACTCTGTTGCAGCTATTTTGATTGTAAAAACCAGGAAAGAGAATAGAAATAGTTAAGATAATATAAGAAAACTAGTTAAGAGAGAGAACAAGGTCTGTCACTTTGAAGACATTGTTTTGTAACTTTTGTTCCTATGTTAGCTTTAGGTAAAAAGAGAAAAAAAGAACCTGCTACAGTTGTTCTGAATATTAATAATAAAGAACTTATTAAAAGAAAGAACAATTATGTGATGGAAATATGCCAATTTTAGGGCTTACCACTTTGCAAAAAATATTTGCTACTTTTGTTTTACTGTTACCTTAAAGAAGGGGAAAAAAACAAAAAACAATTGTTGCTTTTTTTGAAAATGAATGGACAAGGTGGGATAATGATTTGTTCCTTTTGTTCTTCTGTTACTTTTAAACAGAATAAAAAAATCTGTAACAGCAGTTCTGAATGCAAGAAAACATTAGTTAGATACATACAATTACAGAAGAACTTTTAAAGGGAAAGATCAAGCATGTAATAAAATATGCCGAAGTCTATGCCTGCTGTTATAGAAAAGATATTGTTTTATATCTTATTGCACTTGAAAACAGTTAATATTACTTATCTTTCTCTTGGATACAAAATTATCAAAGTAAAAAATTTATAATGCCCAAAAAGCTTTTATTATTGCTACCTTTGTTTTAAACAAAAAGTTTGGGAAAAAAACAGGGTGCTACATAGTTACTGCTTTTAATATACATAGTTTTTGAAATATATAATATAGATCCTTTTTAATTATATAATTCAGAATTAATTATATAATTCAGAATCTTTGCTAAAACTGAAGTAAAAAGAGTATGCACATCAGGGGGTAAAAATTAAAATTTTAAGCAAAGAAAAACGGGGATGTTGTTATAGTCTAATGAATACTGAAGAAGGCGGATTGCAAACAGAAAAACTTTTTTGATTGCTGGAAGAAACAGAGGGGATTAAAAGATGATTATAAGAAACCTTTTAAAGTTTCAAAATACAATCAGACATGTTTTAATGTTTTCCTCCTGCCTTCCTTATTAGTGATTAGGTATATTTCAAATTAGTTTATGTTTTTTCTTTGCTTTAATTGAAATTTGCAAAAATATAACCAGTGAAAGACTACAAAATGGAAGATTTTTGATTCATAAAGTAATCAATTGTATTGATTATAAAATTGAAAAAACAAAGCATCAAAGAGAAAATGGCAAAATAGAAAGCAATTTTTACCAAAAAAGTTATAAATTAAAAATGTCATATACTTTAAAAAAAATTATTAAGAATTTTAAATAATTTGTAAATGATGGATAATTTCAAATGATTGGTATCTTTGTGAATCAACAATTTTAGTATTACACAAAAAAGTTAATAAAAGATTTATCAGTCATGAATTTCCAATAATTTTGAAATGTTGTAAAATCGAATGGTAAATTACTAAAAAGAAACTTTTTTTAGAAACTTATAGATTAATTTTTTTTATAGAAAAAGGCATATAGTATCATAATATTAGTAAATAAAAAAAAAAGCTATCTGCTTTGCATTTGAGAACAAAATTCTATTTAATTTTTGTTTTTTAAGGGGAAGGTTCAAGAATATCAATATTCTAAATGCATAATTTCATGAAATATAAAAATATATACTAACACATAATAATATTGATTGTGATAAATAATTTAATAATGCTGCAGTCATATGGTGTAAATATCTAACTTCATATGAATAAACGTCAAACTTTACAACGAGAATATCCAGACATACACATTTTTATACATAAGCCACAGAATACAACACTTATAGCACAGACTTTGAGAGCTTATCAAAGTAATAAATAAGTTTATGAACATAATTTTTTTTTTCAAATAAAACAGAAAGTAACATAAAAACATAGATAAGAATAGTTTTCTTGTACTCAAGAAATCGCTTTCTGTTTTATTTATTTGAGAATTAAGAGTAGCATGAAGGGGAGTGGCAAGTGACTTAGGCACCCATTTGACAATTAAGATAAATCTTCTTTTCCTTTATTTTTAAATTATTAAAATTTTACCACCACAAACAACCAAAAATAAGTAAGTCTTCCATCATTTGCTTAAAATATATTTAATAATCATTGCATTCTAAAAAATCCTGCACAATTCTAGGATTCAATGTAAAATTTAAAATAGTTGTTCGAAAATGAATGCTTAAGTTATTTTTCCTTTTTCACTTATAATAATTAGGGAAAGAATAAATAGTTACTTATTAGTACTCAAAATAAAAATAATGATAAATTGTACCATATTGTAAACAAGGCTCGTTATTTTTATTTAAAATAAATCATAACAATACATTTTAAACAATATTACTGAATTAAAAATTGTTTAATATATCGAAATGTATATTTAAAATTTATTAAAAATGGAACAGAATCATTTTTAAAAAGAGGTTGGAAAAATAATAATTTTACTGGCCTTTTTATTCTTTAAACTTTAAAAATTCATATTATAACAGCACTAAACATTCATTTTGTTCTTAGTTTAAAATTGATATGATTCATTTCACGCTTAGTACTTACGTAATTTTTCTTATTGAAACTTTATTAACACAGTGATACATTTACACAAAATTTTTAAGCTAAAGAGATTTTAAACAATCTCATATTAAAGTGCTTTAAAAATTTACAAAATTTTTCTTTTATGATTTTATCAGAATTTAAATCAAGTTGATTTGAACCAACAAACACTGATTATAAGCAAAATATTCATAACTCTAAAGCTATAATTTGATAGCTAAAACTTTACTTAGTTTTTATTTTATTCTTATCATGGAATTAAAATTTTTATTAGGTAAATATTTGGCTCAAGTAAAATATTTTAAGAAGAATATAATATGATTTCCAAACAAAATTAGAAATGAAGTTTACGTGTATTAACTATAAAGAAAGATCACCTCTTTACATTTAAGGAAAGAAAAAACTAAGAGTGTTTTGTTTTAAATCAGTTTTTGATAAAATAATATACTTATATTCATATAAAAGGGATTTTACCAAATGTATTAGAAATTTTTATCTAAGCATACTCTTTCAATTTTTTTTAAAAAAGCTTATTTTTTGCTCATTAAGTGCTTATACTCCCTTTTCCAGCCCATCTAATTAGGGTCATTCCCCAGGTCATCCACACACTTCTGCATGCTACTGAATATGAAGATATTTCTCATATCTTGTAACAATTTTTGCATCAGGGATGCCCATTACAGTCGAATCTCGATCCATCGTTTTTGCATCTTTCATTATTATCCGTATTTATCCTATTGCTTTAAAGCTCCTGTCACAAATGCTATTCTTAAAATGTGAATAATTTCTGTTTAAATCATTTTTAAAACTAGCAGAGTCCCGCATCTATTGTTTGACCAACATTTGAATAAAAACATTGAAGTTGATTTATTTCACGAAGAAAAACTGTAACTCCTGATGCTAATAATGAAGAAAATGTGGATTTATTAATGTTAAAGTAAAACGCTTTAAACAACAGGTTTGATATTTATGCATCATTTGAAAAAAAGTGATATTGATGAAGATCAAATTAAACACAATCAATTTTGCAAAAGCTCTTGAAGCCTTTAAAACAATTTTTGCATCCATGCAAACTTTCAGAAAATGAACAGCAATCTTTAACAGATTTTTGAAAATTTATTGTTTGCACTGAGATGAAAGAGAACCGAAATCCCCAAATATTTAACAAAAAATTACTTATTTATCCTACTTTCGCATTGAAAACACTTTAGCAAGAAGCATATAATTTTTTCAATTAAATTTGTTTATACTTATAGTAAATTTATCGATTTTCAAACATTTTCTAGTCATTATTTGATATGTAAATTTGAACCACATTTGTCATTTTCCCACGTCTTTTGTAATAATGAATGGTCTCTTGAGAAATGATTGATCGAGGTTCTACTGTACGCAGAAGTTTCATAGCTTCCATTAATTTTAAAACAGAAAACAAAATTATGGATAGCTTTTGTAAAACAAGAAATATTTATTTTTTAACTTTCATCATATTTACTTTCTATATTTTGTTAGTAATCCTTGTTTTTTTTAATAACTTCCGTCAATTTTTTTTAACAGTAGTAATTATTCATTTATGATTCATTTTCATTTTGCTAATTAAATTCAAATAAAACCTTCAATACTTAATGAATTATTCTCATCTCTTTGTATGTATTTAAATATAATAAGTTTTTTTTTTTTTTTAGTTTGTTGAAGGAAGTACCAATAAAATATTTCATTTTGTACTTAATATCTTTGTGTAAAAAGATGATAAAACATCTTTTTCGTTTGCACCCATGTTATACTTTTATTCTGATCAATCACTAATTCATTATGTTTAATCAGTAAATAATTAAGAATATAAAATAATTTAAACAATAATAATATTTTTAAATTTGAAAAAAAGTAAAATATATTTAACATTTATAAACAACTAAAAATNAGATGATAAAACATCTTTTTCATTTGCACCCGTGTTATACTTTTATTCTGATCAATCACTAATTCATTATATTTAATCAGTAAATAATTAAGAATATAAAATAATTTAAACAATAATAATATTTTTAAATTTGAAAAAAAGTAAAATATATTTAACATTTATAAACAACTAAAAATAAAATGAAATAATAAAATAAACAATAATTTTAAATAATATTTTTAACACTTTAATTAAAATTAAATATTTGGATTTATAAAACATTCAATATTATCTGCAGATGTAATAGTTAACACCAAAAGCATCTATAACTTTCTTACGATCTTGTTTACAGGCACACTTGCTCATGGAATGTAAGAGTGACTAAATAAGCATATTAGTCACAGTCAGTGGAAATTCGGAATGATGCAAATAAGCTTCATATCCTAAATTTCATTAAAAAAAAGTCACAATGAGTTCATGAAAATATGAGATGAAAAATTTCAACGATGAGTTTCAAGGATGGGAAGTAACGATGAAAGCCCCTTTTGAAAGGAAATACTGACTTAGATTTATCGTTCAGAATTGGGAGATGACTTTGATAATGACGCTGTCTCCTCTTTCACAGTTTCCGAATAACAGTGATCAAGAAAATTGTCCATAGTTTGGTAAAGATGCATTTTTACATGACCAAGTCCATGGTTTTCATCAGGATACACCTTAAGAAATAAGAGATAGCAAAATAAAATATCATCCATATGTTGCACAGGTAAAGTAGTTAAAGTTAGTTTTTTTAAAGAAACTAACTTTAACTATATATAAAATATTTTTTGAAATAAGGGCAAATTTAAGTTTCAAGACTGCTATTTTTTCATTGCAACTAATTATAATGCGTAAATTTTGAAATAATTTTTTTTCTAGATCAATAATGTTGACCTGTGTTGAACTAAAATCTTAAAAAAAAAAAAAAAAACAACAACAGCAACAATGAAATAAAACTAAATACATTGCTTAATATCGAATTTTTAAAGAAAAACTAAATATTCTTATTCAAACTTAGACCTTAAATTTTAGTTCAAAACATCGCTAATATTTTACAAAATTTCATCCAATATAACAATCAAAATTTCACAGAATTTTATAAAAAACTTTCGTTTTGCAATGAGTGTTAGTCTAAAGGAATTTTCTCAAAATTAATATTCTTCAGAAAATGCATAAAATATTCTAAATAAAAATAGTAAAATAAAAATTACGAAATTTCAAGTTCTATATAGATTTTTTTCCAAGAACTTTCCCAATATGAATATTTTTTTTTTAAATACACAAAAATTTGCCTTAAACCAAGAAATTAAAAGAAATTTGCATAATTCTGAATAATTGGCAGCTATGATAGTTCATAAGATAATAAATTTTTACCTGCATTCGAAATATCACTCCAGCATCAGTAAGTGCTTTTGCTAACATCATAGATTGCTGTGAATGAACATTGTCTAGAATGGAGGCAAAAGAGAATCAAAATTAATTGAGGAATAGTAATAGCTAAATAAGAATAATATAAAAGTGTGTTAAAACAAAACAAAATAGCATCTGAACTATGTACTAGGTCAAGGATACACGCGTTTTTCCAAGTTATAACACCCTAACGAGATTTAGAATTGCCACAACCTAACTGAACAACATAAAATTTTTCTGTAATATAATATTTATCAGATGCAAATAACATATCTATGTTTCACATGTGTGAGTCTATAAGGCAGAAAATGTGAAAGAAAGTGGTGAGAATATAACATCAAAATGACCGCTCACCACAGGGCGATAGCCAAAGGTGCCCACTGGGTATCGATAAGAAGCAGCGATTCTGGCATTTCTAAGGTCAATGGGAAATAGACCCAAGTGTCAGCCTTTAAAAAAAATTAAATAAGCAACTATTTTTTTGAAAGAAGATTGTCTAACGATGAAAGTACATAATAGCAGAAAGACTCTGGAAAGAATTCTCCTTAAAATGTCCAATGCCTTCATCCATTAATTTGTGGTGGAAAGATTCACGTGGAAGGAGAGTTTTGTAACAATTCAAATATTTTAAAGTTGTAATGTATACATTAAATGTATTTTTCCTCTCGAAATATTTTTAAATAAAGTTCCTTAAATTCAGTATGTTTAGCTAAATTTTGTCACGTATTTATATTATTTTTATTGTTGAAATAACTTTTTATAGCCGCAGATTATGTCTAATATGAATTTTAAAAAAACATAATTTAATCTAAGTAAAAAAAGTTAGCAAAAAGTGGCTATTAATTGAAAAGGACCTATTGTTATCAGTCACCGACTCATTAGATTTGAGGAAAAAGTGTTTACAAAGTTATAAGAGTTTACCGGCCACTGGCTACTAGCTGAAAATTTAAATTTTCAGTTCTATGAGGATATAACTAACATAATTGATATATACTTAACAATGACATAATTTTAACTGTATTTAATGAAAAAATTTCAATAATAATTTGGGAAATATATAAGTTTTTTAGAATAGCAAATGCTAAAAACACAATTTCACTCAGGTAAATCCCACAGCTTAGGACAAAATTTCCCTTTAAAACTCAATCAAATAAATGTAAGAAAATTTGGTTTTCAAGTCAATTTGTGTAGAAATATTGTGCACTAAATCTGCATGAACCGCCTGTAGACACAGGCAATCTACGACTGTTGAGAAATGAAAATATTTATAATAAGTGATTTTGAACTTTTTCCCATTTGAATACCAAGAGATTGCTATTGATTCTCCAAGTTAACATCATGAGGTCAATTATCCCTTAGCACATACTGATGTTATTTTGAGTATCACACACTCCTTTATATTTAAAAGAATAGTAATGTAAAATTCAACTCATCATGGTCATTTGGACAATGGTCATGAAAATGCTATTATTGTATAGTTTTAAGCAGTACGAAATTTCATTCCTAGTTTATCTGCATTGTGTGAGTAATTTCCAACGAATTTCACAAGAAAAAACAATGTTAAATGCAATATAAGTTCATCAGGGTCAAAATTATTCCATCATTAACACCTGCAGAATTTTTTGATCAAGGTACCTTGGGGAAGATGATCATAATATTCATGTAGATGGATTTAAATAAATTCCAGCCTTATACTGGTATTTGATAAATTTTCTATCTCAGTTTGAAGCCCAAGAAAGTTATAAGTGAAAGTTAAGTGGGATCATACTCCCCCATGAGCATTTACAGAATTTTTTGATCATGACACTTCAAGGATCAAGGGATAATGTATTTGAAGGATGCTGCTGCATACACTATAAACATTCCTCAATTAGGTTTCATAGATAATGGATATACAAGTTTCTCATTCATTGCATATCAATGTTACAATGATCATAAATATTTAACATTTACCATCAGCAGTTCCATGAACAAGAAGGTATTTTTTTCCTTTGAAATTAGAGGCCTGTTTCATGACATCTGATTTTTCATAATTCAGCAGATTATCTCTGGGTGATGGACTTTGCATATATCTCTCAGTGTATATTGAGTCTAAAAAAAAATATATAATAATTTTTATATAAGAGAATAAGTAGCTACAGTGTGCATATATTAAATACTAGCTGAATGTTCAGTCATTGTATGAGGTGAACAAGAAAGAAATCAATAAATTGGTATTTCTTCTTCTTCTTCCTAATTCCCAAAATTAGCAGGGCTAAACAATGTCCATGAAATTCATGACCCGGAGGAAGTCGGCCTCCACAAGTGGGTTTTCTAGAATGTCCCTCTTGTCCAGTCCAAGACAATCCAGGATATGATGGGGAGAAGCCTGCATGTTGTGGCACCTGGGGCAGTTAGGGAATATATTAACACTACCCTCGAAAGAAAGAGACTTAAGGCTGGTAAGCGCCGTCTAATTTAAATTGGTATTAATCAACACGATGAAATCATGAAAAAGGATATAGTATTTAAAATAATAATGTATCTGAAAAGGACATAGGTATTAAAAAATCGTTTTCAAAATATGTCGAAAAAATTTGTATTTTCATTATATCAAACTTCTTTAAATAATTACAGTTATGTAAAAAGTATTAAGCAGTTTTTGACATCAATAACAAATTTTAAAAGTCATTTATGTACATTTATATAATACTAAAAAATTACCTTATCTATTTATTTGAAAATCATTAAAAATAATTGTTAAAGAGAAAAGCTAATATCTACGAAATAATTGATATTGAAAAACGAATCAACTTTCAAGCTTCTTCAACTTGTGCAAGCTATCAGTACAAATAGCAACAGTTTGGAAAAGTGGAATAAAGCTAAGTATGGAGGATATATATCTTAATGGAGAAGGAGTAAAAATGTTTATATTTCAAAATTTATAAAACTATAAGTATAAAATGCAGTTAATTAATTGAATATGTTTTTTCAAATGTCACGAAATTTTTTTTTTTGAATATCAAGTCATTTGAAAAGAGTTTAAAATAAATTGATAGCGCAATAACATACCATAATACAACCAGCTTGTAACAGGTGCAACAGAAATTCCACAAGCAAAAGTGTTTTCTCCTGTTGCTAAAGCTAATGCTGAGGCAAACCCTCCATATGACCATCCAAAAATTGCCATATGTTTTTCATCAATAAATGAAAAATGCTCTCCCAAGAAACTAAGATAGTATGAAAAAAAAAAAAAAAAAAATGAGCGGAACAAATACAATCAACATAAATTATAAACCAACAAATTTGTAAAGTAGAATTAATTTTTTGGCTCATTAATTTTTAAATTAACTGATATTTGGACTTTAATTGAGCTTTGGGATTTTATTTAATCATTTTGCTTTACTCAGAATATGAAATCTTAGAAGAATAAAATCAAATTAAATAAAGAAAGAAATTGAATAAATATATAAATTAAATAAATATATAAATTAAATAAATATTTAACTTAAAATGAAATCATAACAACTGAAACAATTTTTTTTAAAATAAAAATAACAGCAATAATATTTTTAAATGATAAGAGAAGAGGAAAAAAAATGATAAGATCACATTTGAAAGCTTTTGTGTGTGGAGGGAAGCTAGGAAATCTCTTATGTAGAATATTATACAGAATTATTATTATTTTGATTTTACAAATGAATTTATAAATTTTAATTTTTTATTCATATAAAATGATTTAATAGAAATACAAATTTAAAAAAAATTCTAGCAGCATTAAAATATTTTGAAATACATAGATTAGAAAAAGTTTATGATTGTTATAAGTTTCAAACATGATAAAAGTATTTTTGATGAAGGGGGAAAGAGCTTATCTGAAATTACTAGATTTATATCTTTTGATATCGCAGATTTTGACGGAAAATAAATAGCTAAAGTAATATTAAATAATCATATTTTTCTTTCTTTCAAATGAATTGAAAAATTCTAACTAAAATTCACACAATTAATATACAAATTCTAAATAAATTTCAAATCAAATTAAAAATAAATTTATAAAATTACATCATTTATAATAAAATAAATTGATAAAATTATACCTTTAATATTTAGATTAAACACAATGTGAATTCTTATTACATTAGAATTCAGACATCTTACAGGAAAAAAAGGGATAGATTTCTTTTTTACCAAATATTTAAAAAAATTTAAAAGAAAAAAATTGACATTAAAGTACCTTGACACAGATATCTGATCCATAATCTCAACAGTTCCGAGGCGTCTATAAAGTTCATGTAAAATTTTGTCACCTTGATTACCACTACCTCTGCCATCTATACTGGCGTAAACAACATTCTTCTTACTAGCCAGGTACATACCCCAATTCACACTAAACCTTTCAGTAACCATTTGTGTTCCAGGTCCTCCATAACTAAAAAAGAAGGAAAAAAAAACTTATTAATCTAATAATTGAATTTCACTTACATCAGAATTATAATCTACTATCCCTTTATTTATTTAGAAGTTTTCACTATAATGTTTATTAAAATTGACCAAATTTATTTTTAAAAAGATGAGCCATTAATAAATATTAGCAACTAAAGAGATGAAAGTTGAAGTAAATAAAGGATAGAAGATAATATCTATTTAAATGATAAAAAAGGGGGGCTTTGGGGGACGTTCGTTACCTCGAGAGCTACAAAATATACATAATGGATTTTAGATGAGACTAAAACTTTTATAAATTCAGATTTTCTATAAATGTTAGCACAATTGATATTTTAAAAAAAGTGAGCCATTGATAGATATTTCAAAATGAAAAAGAAGGAAAATCAAATTAAATGAATGGAAATGAAATACTATTTCAATGATAAAAAAAGGTTTTTTGAATAGTTTGATACAATGAGATTTTATTTAATTATTTTTATTTTATAGAACATTAACAGTTTACAATCTTTTTCTGTATGAACGAAAATCTCATAAAATATGTAAATTATTATTACACTGAAATCCCCAAGAAAGACCACCTTAATTTACGACCACTTTTGGGAGGCATAGAATTTTTCCATAGGTTTTGTGTTGAGGAAAACCTATTGCAGAGATCGTTACAACCTCTTCCAGCAACTGAGCAATATCTGCACCAAATGCAGAAAACGTTAAATAACAAAACAAATAAGCTTATTAAAATGTATTAAAAATATTTCTCTGGCTCTTATTTAGAGAGCTCTTTTTGAAAATTCATAATCATGTTGCAGACAGAGTGCACAAAAGACGATGCTATCAATGATTTACTTTTAGAGGTGAAAGTTAAATTAGAAATAAAAGTTATTTTGGAAAAAAAAAGCAACTCATACAAATAAACTTCTCATCTTTTAAAGCTAACTAATTTTTATGATAAAAAATTAAATGCAAACTGAAACGAAAAACATAATTATTTTATTTATTTAAAATAGCTTTATCATTCATAATTGGTAAATTTGTTTTTACACATAATTATATCAGTTGGGATTATTTCTATGAACACTAAATTTTATTCATAGATCTGTTTTTTTCATAACGCCAGCAAAAATGGCCTTTTCGTACCAAGAAAATGATACAGACTAAAATTAAAACCGTTAGTAAAAATAACTTTGAAGTCAAGAAACCTCCATCAAGGACCATTTTACTAAGAGAGTTATCGCTCCAAAGAGGTTCCACTATATATTGCAAATACCTTCGCAGCTAAATAAATAGTTAATTTTGTTTTCGTATTTTCAACATTAAGAATTATACCTGCAGAATTTTTTGATCAAGGTACCTTGGGGAAGATGATCGTAATATTCATGTAGATGGATTTAAATGCTTCCCGTATTTGATAAATTTTCTATCTAAATATGAAGCCCAAGAAAGTTATAAGTGAAAGTTAAGTGGGATCATACTCCCCCATGAGCATTTACAGAATTTTTTGATCATGACACTTCAAGGATCAAGGGATAATGTATTTGAAGGATGCTGCTGCATACACTATAAACATTCCTCAATTAGGTTTCATAGATAATGGATATACAAGTTTCTCATTCATTGCATATCAATGTTACAATGATCATAAATATTTAACATTTACCATCAGCAGTTCCATGAACAAGAAGGTATTTTTTTCCTTTGAAATTAGAGGCCTGTTTCATGACATCTGATTTTTCATAATTCAGCAGATTATCTCTGGGTGATGGACTTTGCATATATCTCTCAGTGTATATTGAGTCTAAAAAAAAATATATAATAATTTTTATATAAGAGAATAAGTAGCTACAGTGTGCATATATTAAATACTAGCTGAATGTTCAGTCATTGTATGAGGTGAACAAGAAAGAAATCAATAAATTGGTATTTCTTCTTCTTCTTCCTAATTCCCAAAATTAGCAGGGCTAAACAATGTCCATGAAATTCATGACCCGGAGGAAGTCGGCCTCCACAAGTGGGTTTTCTAGAATGTCCCTCTTGTCCAGTCCAAGACAATCCAGGATATGATGGGGAGAAGCCTGCATGTTGTGGCACCTGGGGCAGTTAGGGAATATATTAACACTACCCTCGAAAGAAAGAGACTTAAGGCTGGTAAGCGCCGTCTAATTTAAATTGGTATTAATCAACACGATGAAATCATGAAAAAGGATATAGTATTTAAAATAATAATGTATCTGAAAAGGACATAGGTATTAAAAAATCGTTTTCAAAATATGTCGAAAAAATTTGTATTTTCATTATATCAAACTTCTTTAAATAATTACAGTTATGTAAAAAGTATTAAGCAGTTTTTGACATCAATAACAAATTTTAAAAGTCATTTATGTACATTTATATAATACTAAAAAATTACCTTATCTATTTATTTGAAAATCATTAAAAATAATTGTTAAAGAGAAAAGCTAATATCTACGAAATAATTGATATTGAAAAACGAATCAACTTTCAAGCTTCTTCAACTTGTGCAAGCTATCAGTACAAATAGCAACAGTTTGGAAAAGTGGAATAAAGCTAAGTATGGAGGATATATATCTTAATGGAGAAGGAGTAAAAATGTTTATATTTCAAAATTTATAAAACTATAAGTATAAAATGCAGTTAATTAATTGAATATGTTTTTTCAAATGTCACGAAATTTTTTTTTTTGAATATCAAGTCATTTGAAAAGAGTTTAAAATAAATTGATAGCGCAATAACATACCATAATACAACCAGCTTGTAACAGGTGCAACAGAAATTCCACAAGCAAAAGTGTTTTCTCCTGTTGCTAAAGCTAATGCTGAGGCAAACCCTCCATATGACCATCCAAAAATTGCCATATGTTTTTCATCAATAAATGAAAAATGCTCTCCCAAGAAACTAAGATAGTATGAAAAAAAAAAAAAAAAAAATGAANTAAATCCCACAGCTTAGGACAAAATTTCCCTTTTTTGCAGACATTCAAAACTCAATCAAATAAATGTAAGAAAATTTGGTTTTCAAGTCAATTTATATAAAAATATTGTGCAATAAATCTGTATGAACCGTCTGTAGACACAGGCAAATTTAATTACGACTGTTGGGAAATAAAAATATTTATGATGAGTGATTTTGAACTTTTTCCATTTGAATAGCAAGAGATTGCTATTGATTCTCTAAGTTAACATGATGAGGTCAATTATCCCTTAGCACATACTGATGTTATTTTGAATATCATGCACTCCTTTATATTTAAAAGAATAGTAATGTGGACAAAATTCAACTCATCATGGTCATTTGGACAATGGTTATGAAAATGCAATTATTGTATAGTTTTAAGCAGTACGAAATCTCATTCCTAGTTTATCTGCATTGTGTGAGTAATTTCCAACGAATTTCACAAGAAAAAACAATGTTAAATGCAATATAAGTTCATCAGGGTCAAAATTATTCCATCATTAACACCTGCAGAATTTTTTGATCAAGGTACCTTGGGGAAGATGATCATAATATTCATGTAGATGGATTTAAATAAATTCCAGCCTTATACTGGTATTTGATAAATTTTCTATCTCAGTTTGAAGCCCAAGAAAGTTATAAGTGAAAGTTAAGTGGGATCATACTCCCCCATGAGCATTTACAGAATTTTTTGATCATGACACTTCAAGGAAGGGATAATATATTTGAAGGATGCTGCGGCATACACTATAAACACTCCTCAATTAGGTTTCACAGATAATAGATTTACAAGTTTCTCATTCATTGCATATCAATGTTAGAATGATCATAAATATTTAACATTTACCATCAGCAGTTCCATGAACAAGAAGATATTTTTTTCCTTTGAAATTAGAGGCCTGTTTCATGACATCTGATTTTTCATAATTCAGCAGATTATCTCTGGGTGATGGACTTTGCATATATCTCTCAGTGTATATTGAGTCTAAAAAAAAAAGAGTGTATCAATTTTTATATAAGAGAATAAGTAGCTATAGTGCGCATATATGAAATACTAGCTGAATGTTCAGTCATTGTATGAGGTAAACAAGAAAGAAATCAATAAATTGGTATTAATCAACATTATGAAATCTAGTATTTTAAAAAATCGTTTTCAAAATATGCCGAAAAAATGTGAATTTTCATTATCTAAACTTCTTTAAATAATTATAATTAGTGTAAAAAGTATTAAACAGTTTTTGACATCAATAACAAATTTTAAAAGTCATTATGTACATTTTTATAATAATAAAAAATTACCTTATCTATTTATCTGAAAATTATTTCAAATAATTGTTTAATGATAAAAGCTAATATTTACTAAATAATTGATATAGAAAAGATATCAACTTGTGTAAGCTATTAGTACAAATAGCAACAGTTTAAAGTTTGGACAAGTGGAATAAAGCTGAGCATGGATGATATATATCTTAATGGAGCAGGAGTAAAAATGTTTGTCTTTCAAAATTTATAATACTATAAGTATAAAATGCAGTTGATTAATTTAATATGTTTTTGAAATGTCACAAAACATTTTTTTTAATATCAAGTTATTTGAAAAGAGTTTAAAATAAATTCATAGTGCAATAACATACCATAATACAACCAGCTTGTAACAGGTGCAACAGAAATTCCACAAGCAAAGGTGTTTTCTCCTGTTGCTAAAGCTAAAGCTGAGGCAAACCCTCCATATGACCATCCAAAAATTGCCATATGTTTTTCATCAATAAATGAAAAATGCTCCCCCAAGAAACTAAAATAGTATGAAAAAAAAATTGATCTGAACAAATACAATGAAGATAAATTATAAAATAACAAATTTGTAATATAGAATTAATTTTTTGGCTCATTAATTTTTAAATTAATTGATATTTGGACTTTAATTGAGCCTTGGGATTTTATTTAACCATTTTGGTTTACTCAGAATATAAAATCTTAGAAACATAAAATCAAATTAAATAAAGAAAAAATTGAATAAATATATAAATTAAATAAATATTTAAATTAAAATGAAATCATAACTAAAAGAATTTTTTAAATAAAAATAACAGCAATAATATTGCTAAATGATAAGAGAAGTGAAAAAAAATGATAAGATCCTTTTTGAAAGCATTTGTGGTGGGGGGGGGGAGGGCTAGGAAACTAGTAAATTCCTTATGTAGAATATTATACAGAATTATTATTTTGATTTCACAAAAGAATAAAAATTTTTTTTTTTTATTCATCTAAAATGATTTCATAGAAATACAAATTTAAAAAAAAAAAATTCTAGCAGCACTAAAATATTTTGAAATACATAGATTAGAAAAAGATTATGACTGTTATAAGTTCCAAGCATGATAAAAGTATTTTTGAATAAGGGGGAATAAGCTTATCTGATATCACAGATTTCAACAGAAAATAAATAGCTAAAGTAATACTAAAATAATCATATTTTTCTTGCTTTTAATTGAATTGAAAAATTCGAACTAAAACTCACACAAAAAATGTATAAATTCTAAATAAATTTCAAATCAAATTAAAAATAGCTTTATAAAATTACACCAGTTATAATAAAATAAATTGATAAAATTATACCTTTAATTAATTAATAAAAATTTTTTAAGAAAATTTTTCAATTAATTAAATAGTACAAGGTAAATTAATATTATATTAGAATTCACACATCTTACAAGAAAAAAAAAAGATTTCTTTTTTACTGGATATTTAAATAAAATTTAAAAGAAAAAAAAATTGACATTAAAGTACCTTGACACAGATATCTGATCCATAATCTCAACAGTTCCGAGGCGTCTATAAAGTTCATGTAAAATTTTGTCACCTTGATTACCACTACCTCTACCATCTATACTGGCGTAAACTACATTCTTCTTACTAGCCAGGTACATACCCCAGTTCACACTAAACCTTTCTGTAACCATTTGTGTTCCAGGTCCTCCATAACTAATAAAAAACAAATTTATTAATCTAATAATTGAATTTCACTTTCATCAGAATTATATTTTGTCTATTAATATTGACAAAATTTATTTTAAAAAAGATGAGCCATTAATAAATATTTGAAACGAAAGAAATAAAAATTGAAGTAAATAAAGGATAGTAGATAATATCTATTTAAATGACAAAAAAGGGGGCTTTGGGGGAAGTTCGTTACCTCGAGAGTTACAAAATATACATAATGGATTTTATAAAATTCAGATTTTCTATAAATGTTAGCAGAATTGTTAAAAAAAGTGTGCCATTAATAGATATTTCAAAATGAAAAAGAAACAAAAATATACTAAATAAATGGAAATGAAAGGCTTCTTGAATAATTTGATACAATAAGATTTTATTTAATTTCTTTCTTTTATAGAACATTAATAGTATACTTTTTCTGTATGAATGAAAATCTCATGAAATATGTAAATTATTATTACAGTGAAATCTCCAGAAAAGACCACCCGTATATAGCGACCACCTAAATTTATGACCACTTTTGGGAGGCACAGAATTTTTTCATAGGCTTTGTGTTGAGGAAAACCTCTCCCAGCAACCGGGCAACATCTGCACTAAATGCCGAAAAGGTTAAATAAGGAAACACGTAAAAATATCAAAGTGGCATTTTAGTACCAAGAAAATGATACTAACTAAAATTGAAACAGTTTGTGAAAAATCATGTACCTTCTATAATAATTTTGAAGTCAATGCAGGTAACCTCAAAGAACGACTAACCTCCATCAGCGACAAACGACGAATTGTCGCTCCAGAGAGGTTCCACTGTATATTGCAAACTTAACTATTAACTAAACAAAAAACTATTTGCAGCTAAATAAATAGTTAATTTTGTTTTTGTATTTTTAACATTAAGAACTATTTTTAAGAATAAAAGAAAAGAATAACTATAGTGACGATTGTTGTTCTTAGATAATTATTTTACTGGGGATAGGCAGTTGAAAAGAATTCACTATTTTTTAGGTTTTGCAGCTTTTGGAAAAACAAAACACAAATTGTAGGAATTATTTTTATTTTAAACATCTTCCACATAAGTTTCAGTAAATACAATTTGAGGGAGCGCTTTCTGAATATAACAAGCATAGATTATATTTTTTCTTTTAAAGAATAAATTATTGGCAAAAAATCTATTTTTTATTTTGCAGTTTTTTGGTTTAGAAAAAATGAAATAGGCCACAGGAGCCAAGGGATCTTTCTCTTCCTAACCTATTGGATCAAAGTTTCATTCAAAATTGATAAGAAAGCAGTCACTTCTTAGTTTAGAGATCCATTATTTGGTGAAAGATAAACTTAAGAATGTATCAATTTTAATGAAAGACTTAAAGAATATATCAAATTTTAATGGATTTAAATTTTTGTGTTAATGTGGGAATTACAAAAAAAATATCTGTTTTTAGAACTTGATTTTTGCTCAGTTGTAATTATATGGAAAAGACTTCAACAGTTTTTTTTTTCATCCAGAAAACGGTTAGAAGGTAAAACATAAATTTAATTACAAGAAAAAAGTAGGAAAAATGTTATGCATAATTGGATGACAATAATAAATCTGATTAAATGGAGAATTAAGAAGCGCAAGAGCTAAAAAAGCTATATTGCACCAAATTTAGAATAAATTGGATTCACTATACTTAAAATAAATCAACACAATATTAAGTGCTGAGGTAAATTATGATTGATGCAAAAAACTAAAGAGCAAGGGGGCACAAAAGAGTTTTTTTTCATATTTATGTAAAGAAAGAACTCTGTGACAGTAAAAAGTAAAATTATTTGAAAAATGTACAGTAAATGTAACATTTATGAAATTTAAAATGATATGAAGATATGAATAATGGTTTGAAACTTGCAATGGTTTGAAACTGGCAAAGAGCTGGTCTTAAATTTCGATTTTTATCTACCTAAAATTTTATAAATATAGAATTTAAGGTGTTGTTTCAAATGATAAGAAGTTTTACTGTAAAAATCTGTTGTAAAACAAAATATACACTTAAATTTAAAATAGAAATATTGTTGCTGAAAATAATTACGGGGTAAAAGACTTACACTTCAACAAGCATGGGATATTTAGTTATTTCATATTCTTGTAGAGCAGGTGGCAAATACAAGCGAACATTTGCGTCTGAAAAAAAAAAGTTGAAATTATTGTCTCAGGAGCAGAATTTTATCTTTTTAACAAGACAATGACAGTAAAAATTCTTAGAGTATTGAAACTGAAACAATTTATAAACAACTCTCACTAGTTAAATTATTACAATTTCTTTAATGTTGAATAATTTTATTTTGCAAATAAAAATTGCAAAAGGAGAAATAATAATTTGTTGAATATCAAATTATATATAGCCTGGATACCTTATTAAACAACCTACCTCCTACATAATTAAACAAAAATTATTAACTCCATAATTGAAATTTTCATTGCGATTTGGACACTAATTATTCTGTAAGGATCTTCATTGTTCTGTGAAGCATGGAAAAAGGTTTAAGCACTTTTTGCTTTAAGGACGATTTACATTTAAAAAATAAATTGCGACTGTTGGGTTGGCAAAAAAAGCAACTTCGGTTTTTAAGTAAGAAATGAAACTCAATTTTTTCTATACGAAAATCAAATATCATAGATTCTGTTTCTTGCTTTTTAGCCATCTTCATGATAACTTCTCTTCATGACCAGCCATAGAAATTCTGGTTTTGATAACTTCGTAGTCATAGACTGACAGAACTTTTGGTCCTCATCAGCAAAAACTCAATTAAGTGCAATTTGAGGCCATTATTATGATTGACATTTAAAATGTTTTGTAAACTTCAAAATAAATGATAATCCAAGATCAGAGCTTCTGGGAATTTCTCCCACCTCATTTAGGGCATCCACATTCAAGCTCTATGGCAAAATTGCCCATGATCAATGGAGCGCTGCTGGCGGTCAGAGACAAGCTAAGGAGCTGAATCCTGACTGTCCTAGTGTACGTCAAAAGGAGCTTTTAAAGCTTAATAGAAACAGTTTAAGGAAGATCATTGGTCTTCTTACTGGACACTGCATCCTCAGGAGACACCTGTACATAAAATTTGAGCATTTAGGGCAGCATTGCGTCAAAACCTGGGAACTGCAAGATGTTCCTGTAAGGTGCTTGCTGAATTTTATTTCAGCAAGCTTTCATGCTAATCATGATTTAGGGTTTGGGTGCAATAGATCTCTGGACGATGTGACCTGCTCTTTGGAGCTGCCCAACCTCTAAGTCTAAGATCAGAGCTTCATGGGTATGGAGAATTACTTTTCACCCAAGATTTAATAATTTTGCATGCCTTGATAAAGATGTGCCTGGACTGACATTGTCAATTCAGAATACAATTCCTTAACGATTTGTGATCCCCTATTAAGTCTTGACTTTGCACCCCAATGGATTACCATTTATTTCTAAGTTTACAGAACCTTTTAAATGGTAAAAATTTCAATCATATCGGTGGACTCAAATTGCACTAGGTTTAGTTTTTTGTTGATAAGGAAAGATTGCACAAGAACATAAAACAGAATCAATGATAAGTGGTAAACTAAATTTAATTTCTTACATGGAAAAGATTGAGTTTTATTTCGCTCTTAAAAACTGAAGTAACTTTCTTGCTTTTGACAGTGACATTTATGTGGCATTCAATCTATGTGAAAGTGGCAATACATTCTAAATAAAATAAACTAAAACAAATCATAAGTATTTTAATCTATTAAACTGTAATATTAAAAAAAAAGTGATTTCAAATTTTATTCCTACCTAGCTACCTGAAATTGCAGAAGTTTTACATATTATATTTTAAAAAAATATTGAAAAAGGTAGTACTACTTACAATAGTTTCCATCAATAGGCACTTTGAGATTTTTTACTTTGGGCATAGCTCGTTGATCCACTAATTCCCGAAGCTCATCATTTGTATCCATTATTGATACTAAATAAAACAAAAAAGGTTTATCAAAATTTTATAGACAAAGAAGATAAAATTTTTTTAATATTATTTAGTTTAAAAAAAAGTTTAAAAGTATAAAAGGTTCAGGATGTCAGCGAGAAGACATTTTGAAATTCCCGAAATTCAAGATTTTCTCTGTAACTTGCAGACAACGCTGGTCCAAAAAAATAAGATTAAAGGACAATTTATAAATTCAAGGATGCTGATTTTGAGTAATTTACTAAATAAAAATTATGTTCACAGCATGCCTGTGAACAAATTCTGTCAATAAAAATTAAAAAATATGTACATAATATTTACATGATGCAAAACATATGTTAATATGAAAATGAAAAATAAAACAACTAAAATTAACTTTCTAACATTTACTTGATAAAGGGAATAGCTTGATAAATGAGAGGAATGAAATATATACGATCTATATTTAAATATATTTATTACATAAAATATCAAATTAGATCATGGAAACTTGAATGATATTTTGCTACTTTTATTTTAGCTATATTATGGCAAGCTTTTCGTTGGAGGCATGAACTTCTCAGCATCAACTCTCACTTAAGAAATTTTCGAACACTTTTTTTAAAAAATGCTTAGCTCTAATCCTTCATTATCCCTTTTTAGCAAACAACTGGCACCGTTTTTTTCTCCAATAAAACTAATTTCAGTCTTAGTCAACTCAGTTAACTTAGCCTTAATTTCAATATTTTTAATTTTAAAAAGTATAAATGCGATGTGATTTTTAAATTGCAAAAAGACGAATCACAACGTTTGAATATGTATCACAATGTGTGATTTTTAAACCACTTGAATATGAATAGCGTTGCTTGATTTTTAAATTGCGAGATGAATAACAACGTATGATTTTTAAATTGCGTGAATGAGAATCGTGATGTGTGATTTTTAAATTGCGAGAAGACGAATCACAATGTATGGTTTTTTAAAAAGCATAAATAGAATTACGATGCGTGATTTCTAAATTGCGTAAATTTGAGCTGCAATGCGAGATTTTTAAAAAGAGGGAGGACGTATCTCGATGTATGATTTTTGAATCGCGATGTGTGATTTTTAAATTGCCAAAAGACGAATCTCAACGTATGAATTTTAAAATGTATAAATACGAATCATGATGCGTGATTTTCAAATTGCGTGAATACGAATCCCGATTTTTAAATAGCGAGAAGAGGAATCACAATGTATGATTTTTAAAACGCACAAATAGGAATTGTGGTGTATGATTTTTAATTCGCTTATATATGAGAAGTGAGGAGTGATTTTTGAATTATGAAAGACGAACCCCAACGTATGATTTTAAAACACATGGATACGAATCGTGACATACAGACGAAAACAGGTTAATACAATCCCGCCTCTTAACATAGTTTTAAACGGTTCCACAGTTGTGTTGGTATGGAAATGACGTCAACAACTTTAGGACCATAGATATCACTGGGAAGAAAGATGGGATAAAACTTGTATGCATCTTACTTAGTGAAGCACTCTTTACAGATTGAAGTAGTCAGTGATAGCTTGTTTTAAAATTTTTTCTATTTTATTAAAAATTCTTGAGAAATTCCCTGATACATCCAGAATCAACAAAGTCTCTGATTATTCCCTGTTTACTCGATCACTGAACATCGAGTAAATATTTAAAGTGGAAGAGGTGAAGTGATGTTAATGCTTGTTTTAAATGACTTGCTAATGCTTGTTTAAAACATACATGTGATTGCTGGAAGAAGAAATTATCTTAAAATTTTTTTTTCAATGCATAGTTTTTTTTTTGGACTAAATTTTTTTCTTTTTGTTCATAGATATATGAAATTTAAAGAGAGAAATTTTAATTTAAGAATTTTTTTTTCTCATCGATACATAAAAGATATATTGAAAAAAATTATGCAGACCTCCTTTTTCGCTTTTTGCAAGAAATCACTTGAATCGGGCAGGCCAAGAAAGGGTGAATTAAATGCATGTTTCTAGATTGTTGCAATAAATAATATCAAGATTTTAAGAAATAAGTAAAAATGAGTAGATATAACTGCTGAAAAAACGATAGAATTATCACGTCAAATTTAAATATTCAGGTGCGTGATTTGAATTTTCCGTATCATAATAATATTTGGATTTTAAAAAATTATGTGAAAATTTAACAGCAACGACTGAATTTTTTTTCTGATCTGAAAGCCGATAGGGTTTGGCACAAATCTAGTGCATCAAAAAGTAATTACTAAAATGTGAGATACAAATTTCAAATTTTTCTATACTGTATAAAAATATCGAGATTTAAAAAAACCATGCGAATATAAGTAGCAAAAACAATGAAAAAATTGAAAAACAGTGATATCATCGCGTCAGAAGTGACTAATAAACGATCAAATTGAATTTTACGTGTTGTAACAATAATGTATAAAAATAGACAAAAACAATAATATTAAATAAAACAAACCTATATGATTAGATTGAGTGAGACGCATTTGCACTTGGGGTATTCCAGGTCCCAAGCAATCCAAAGCATAGTAAGTATAATTCAAACTGAATGATGCATCATTATATAAACAATCGGGCCCTAAATCACAAGTATAGCAAGTTACTGTTTTCGGTTTGTTATGAGTTGTATCTGTCACTCCAAATAAGTGTCTTTCCCCAGGTTTGCCATCTAAAGTTGAGATATAAAACCTACAAAAATAAATAAAATTAACAATAATGACACAAATGAAATAAAAAACAGAGAAAATAAAAAAAATTGAAATATGACATCAAGGGACAAAAAGTCTTTTCAAGACGCAACAATACATTATCCCATAAATCGAAATTGTTTGGTCTTTTTATCACAGTACACTAAATACAAGAATGAGAAAGACATCAATATTTTTTAAAATTCATGCTCATTTCTGCGTTTGTACACTGAAATGATTCCAAACTGTAAGAAGAACAGCCACTAAAACATATATTTTTTATATTTATCGTGTTATTTATCATATCATACACAGGAGAAAAAATAAAATAAACAAATAAAAAAAATTCCACATTTTGGAAAGGCAAAAAACATCAAAATTCAACAACTGTTTCCTTCTTCAATAATAATAAAAACACAACAATGAAAACATTATGAAAGGAAAACCATCAGTAATAGTTGCTAAAAATGAACTCAAAAGTTTACCTCACACATTTATGTAAATAAAATAAAATAGTGTGAAAGTTGAAATGGCAAAAAAATTTGCAAACGGGAAATCTTATAATAAAAGTATGGGAAATCTATTATGCACAATTTATTTCTACTTTTGCTATTATCATATTTCTGTGTAAATGACCCATTCTAGGGGGAAAAAAAGAGGAGTAGCAGTCTATTACTTTAGTTTAAAGTTCTAATTAGAAAAAATCTAGATCATTCCTTTCACTTAAAAAATACACAATGCAATTACACTTTCTCACAGCACAAACTAAATAAAACATAATTGGTGTCAGAAAATGTAGTAGATAATGCCAACATCAAATCATTTTATAAAAATATATCTAAATTTGTAAAAGATTAAAGTTTTTTCTACTTACACTATTTTCTCCACAGTATTATATCCTATTAGTGAAACAACATCATACGTCCCACTCGTAAGAAAAGTTTTTTTGCCCGACTAAAAAAAAGAAATATTTTTATATTACTATCTAAAAGAAGATAATTGGAGAAAGATATATTTTTTCAGTTTTATATTTTTTTTTAGCTTTTCAATGCAAAAAATGCAGTGTATTAATGCTAAGAATGAAATTCCTCAAATGAATAATTTTGATTTCCAACAATGTAACGTGTCAAAGGATTGTAATAAGAAAAGAAAAAAATAATTGTCAAAAGTTAAGCTTTTTTTATGTTGAGATATCTTTTAAGCATTGAACACTGACAATAAAGTTATCTTGTATATATAAGTATTAATTTTTTAAGAAAGTTATGTGGCATCACTTAGTCAGAAATTTCAAAGTTAGAAAAACGAGTTTTAAGAACTTAATTCATAGCATATCTGAAACTTTTTTTGTATTAAATTAATGACCCTTTTACAACTCTATGATTATTTTTTTCATACCTATTTCATAGGCAGCGTCGAAAATGTTAAAATCAACATGCGGTACACAACTACTACTTTAATATACATAAAAACCATTTTTATAACAATTGTTACAGTCATTTGGTACTTAAGAGAGTTGATACAGATTTTAATGAGTACCCTGAACAAACAAAATAATACCCAATCTAAAAACAAATTTGTAAAAAAGGATCACTTAAATAATAGGAATAATAATAATAAATTAAAGAAAATCATAAATGTTTTAATAATAAAACTTTTTTGGATTTGAATAATTAAATTAATTATAAAATTAGTTTATATCATTGCAACTTACTTAGTGATAAGTTGAAAAGTGCATTATTTGAGTAAAGTCTATTAATGATGACAAGATTGAATAAATAAATAAAATATTTATATTTAAAAAAAAACATATTAGTACGAAACAAAAAAACATATAATTAAAAATAGGTGAAATGAAAAATAAACAAATTGATGTTACTACTTACCTTTGCATCAACTTCAGCAACATGTCTAAAACGCCCAGCACTACCTTCTGCGGGACCAGGTAGTCTCATAAAATATCTTTGTTTAGTGGGAGGAGTGAATAATATCTTGTCATACAAGTCAATCCAGCCATGTCCGTTAGTATCTTCTTGTAAGCTCTAAAAAGAAAGCTGAATTAATTGACTGAATATTTCATAGTAGATTAAAAGACAGACATTTCTGTTCTGCAAAATCAGGTAAATTTGAAACTTGAACATTTTTGCCTTTGAAGAAAACAAGCACTTTTAATGACTTGTTAAATGCATTTAAAACTCAAATTTGAATTAGTTCGTAGCAATTAACATTTTTTGGAAATTGAGTTATGATCAAATTCAGTGGCATTATAGGATGGTAGAGCAGGGTGACATACTGTGAAATATCAATATGATTTAGCATGAGGATAATGGTATTTCAAAAAGTATTCTCTTGGTTTATTGCAAATAAACTGTCTTAACATCGTTACCACAACCACATATAATATTATTGTTAGTGTCGATAACAAAAAAATTTGATAAATATAGAAATACTGCAAACTAATAAATAGGCTCCGTCCTTTGACACTGATGCTCTCCATCCCCAAAAATTGCTATGCAATCTTATATAGTTTGCTTTGCAAACAATACTTGCTACTTTGTTAAAACCATATGAAATGTTTTTTAATATAAAACCTTAAAAATTTAAATCATTTATTAAAATATTTAAACTAATTCCTTTCCAAAAAGTTAACATTTTAAATCAATTATAAGTTGTTAAAATAAAACAAAAAAAACGGCATACAATAGGAAAATTTTCTGAAATAAAACTATAATTATGAAACAAATAAAATAACTCTTAGGGAAAACTGATTTTTCATGATATTGATTTATCAAAACTTAGAAATAAAAAAAACGTAATAGACGGCAATCTAATTTATCATTTTTGTGAGAAATGGACAAAAACTGTTCTTCTCTCTTGAACTTCAATTATGAATTTCAAAACTTTCAGCGATCACAGTAAAGCCGTTAAATGACAAAACTATTAGGAATTAAAATTGAAATAAGTGACATACAATAGAAAAACTTGCAGAAATTAAACATTAATTATGCTTCTAAAAAACAATTACTATTAAAGATTAAGAACTTCTTTATAAACACAATCATTTTCAGGAATTGGAGCTTGGGCTGTCAATGACCAAACTCTTAAGAAGTCCACATAAAGTGGGTTTTAAATGATGCAAAAGCAAAGTGCAGCATTATATTCATAGATATTATTCCACAAAAATGTCTTGCTTCGATTGAATAATAAATTTTTTAGCAAATCAGGAATGATTGCTTATTGGGCAACTTGAATTTCCCAACATTTCAATATTTACCATGCTTACCAGAAATTTTTTTTTCTTTTGCCAAGAAGTGAGCAGCATAAAAACTACATATTATGATTACGGAATCAACATCAACAGGTAAATCATTTATGACGGCACATCTATTTTGTATCCTTCAAAACTGTCATTGATGCTTTCTTTTGCTTTTCAAGTACGTTTATTTTTTTTGTTCAAAAAAGCGTAACAGCCCGACTTATACACATTTTTAATAGATAACAATAACAATGAAAAAGTTATTAAATCTGCATAAGAAAGTTACTAAAACATAATATAGAACACTTTGATTGTTGATATGAATTATTCGTTTTTAACCTTTCAATTCTTCCCAATTATGGCTCAGTTTCTTTCAACTTTTCGTTGTCCCCACAAGAAAAGAATTTTCATTTAGAAATTAGTAAACGTGTATGTTTATACTCATGACAGCTCACAGGCTTGATATTTCAGTTCTTTGCAACCAACAAAAAAAAATAAATAAATTAGGATTTTCTTTGTTTCCATGTAAGATAAATTTATATATGGATAAGTTACAATAGGAAAATATTGCGATATATCAATATTTTAGCATGACATATCACTATATTAAAATTCCCATATCAACTAGCACAAGAGCAAAAAGTTTTAAGTGACAAACAACCAGTAAAAACACTTGATTGGTAAGACGGTAATGCACAACTTAAAAAAAAAAAATAGTTCAGCACATAAAAATGAAAAGGACTGCAAGTTTTTAAATTTGAAAAATGCCAGTTATCTCTCTCTCTCTTTTTTATAAAAACTGCACACAAAATATTTATCTAAATAAAAATGTAATGTATTTAAAAGTTTCATTTAATTATTAGAAAACTTACTTTATATTAATGGACCAATTGATAAAGGAAAAAAAATGAAAGTTTTTTAGATTTAAGAAATATCCAGGAAAAAAATATACCTTTTTGCATTCCCAGGCATTGTTTTCATCACATATACTGATCATGGAAGAATTCTGAGGTCTTTTTAACCATACAATAGAGACAGAAGTATCGCTCGCCCACTGCAATCCAGTAAAATAATAATCCCTGCAAAGAAAAATTAAAATATTATTATTATGTCGGTAAAAAGTATGTAACGACATTTGATTAAGGGTTTTAGGGGATTTGCTTTATCCTATTCTCAGAGAAATGGCAGGATTTGAATAAAAAATAGAGAAATGACACGGCAATGCCAATATGACACAATTAATGAACAAACGAATGATGGATGGTATTAGTGAACGGGAAACTCTCAACTCTAGAATAAGAAGACCACTGATACACAACCACCTGATCTATGACCTCAGCCCCAGCTGGTTGCTTATAAACAAGATGGGGTTTTAATATTCAGCTGCTGGCCAAGGTCGAGCTAAGTTTTTCTACCTAAGTTATGTTAAAATATAATTTCTACATGCCTAGGTCTTTTATTTAACATAGATTTAGTATCTGTTCATGCATTTTAATGTAACCATAATTATTTTTGTAATGTTCATCTAGAAAATTTGTTGCATTATTTCTTCATTCATGTTTTACATGGCTTTGTGTTAAATAAAAATCAATCAAAAACCTTGGTGAAACAATATGGAATGTGGCACTTAAGGGAATCCAAATTTGAGGGGAGGGCCTACTGGAAATAGAATGAATAGAACAGCTGCTACTATAAATAAATCCACGTTTTAACAGCCAATCCGGATCCATACCCATGTTGATGTGGCTTGCAGGCATCCAATTAGCACACAAGATGATACTCATTTTAAAAAAAAAATACTGATTTCAGTAAAAATACTAAAAATCTCATATTTGATTCAGATTTTTCATTCGATTTTAGTCACACAACCAAATATAAATAAATCAACCAATTTCATTTGATAAATTGAACAAAGTTAAGGTTTGGTTTTAAAATGTTTGTCTTAATTTTTGTAAATTGTTTGCAACTTTTGAACCATACAAACATTTAGTTCATTTAAAGCATGTTGAAGTTTCATTAATTTTCAATAAAATATATATCTCAATCTACAACTTGATGTCACAAAAATAGTTTCAATTGGTCAGTCATTATCAATCAAACTTATTTTAAATTTTGGAGTATGTCGAGATTTTCAATAAACACTTGTGATATTTCTTTAAGTTTCGTTAAAATAAACATTTGATTGCTGCTTCATCTTGTAATAAAATCAAGTGATCAATTGATCTTTGAAATTTCTAGGAAACCTTGTATTATAATACAAAATGAACTTCGAAGATGGCATAAGACCTAGGGATCACTATTTTGTCCTACAAATTAATTGCGTACATACTAAAAAAAAACATTAAACACCCATAGTTAGAGGACGTCAGAGACTAACAGACTACCCAGCTAGGCTAAGTAAGATTTGTAGTGGCTTCCACACGTATGATTTTCATTATAATTTATAATGTTGCTAAAATAAATTAAGGCTTGATATATTAACTTATTTGTTAAGATAAGTCGCCGTCACATTAAATAATCTCAAAGCATGGGTTAGTTACATGAGAAATTGTAATTAAAATTAAATTTTTGCTTAATTTCTGTGTTTGGTTATAAAATTTATATTTTAAATTCTTAAATCAAATTTTATATTTTTTCCATTCCCTTAACATTTTAGATAAAAATAAGGGCTTTAATTAAATACAATGATTAATTAAATATTATAATTTTCTTTGGTAAAATTATTTCTCTTTCTTTTCAATCTGGAAGCACTTATATTAAAATAAAAGACAAATGCCCTAATGTTCCCTTCAGACTATATACAATAATTTTAAAACAATTATACTAAAATATATTAAAATTTGATATGAAATACATTAATTGATAAATGGATAATAAATGAACAGTATAAAATTGTGAAAAAATTTCTTAAAGAGTATTTTAAAAAAGAAAAATATTGCCTTCAAGTGTTAACAATTTGTGTATTTACACAAATAGTATTTTTGTATGTACAAATTGTATTAATTGTATGTACAAATTGTATTTACACAAATTGTATTACACAATTTGTGTATTTACAGCAAACAAGTAAAATAATTATTTTCCATAAAAAATTGATTAAATATCCTACAACTTACTAATTCCTCCATATGAAATTCTCTTATCTTCATCCTCTATAAGGCAGATTAGAAAATTTGGGAAAAAATTATTAAATTTAAAATATTCAAATATTATAAATATATTTTCCTGCATATTAAAGATTTGTTTTTGTACCAGAACTGCTGCGTTGGAATAAAAAAAAATTAATAGGTTTTAAAAGAAACTATGGCCGATTAACACGCAAAGATTTGTACAAAAGCCCGCTACAACAATCTAAAAAGGATAAAAAAGAAAACATACTTTTTGAAGGAGTGGTGATAAACAATTAGTCAAAAACCAGTCTTTAAAAACAAGGAAATAGTCTATAAAATGCAGACGTCAGTAGTAAACAGAATTTCTTTATTTTGGGATTCATCTTTTATATATTCAGGCACAGGTAATATTGATGATGTCAGAAAAATGCATCAATTTGTGTTCAAAAAGAAAAACATCATATGGAGCTCAACACAACAGTCACGATGGTGGAGTGTCCGAAAGCTGGTAAATCTCAAGGGCTCACTGCACTAGCATTCCTTCAACAAAAGGACGACACAATTCTGGAAAAACCAATAGCGCTGGAAAAATGATGTTGGTTTGGGATTTAGAGAGTAGCAATGCTGCCCAGAAAGCATAGCTGGAACAATTCGATGAGATGCCGTCTACGGAACCATCAACAAAGCCATTCAGAAATTCGTAATAATGGCATCCATCCCCATCATACTGGGAGAGATGCAAAGCTGCCCAGAAAGCATAGCTGGATCAATTCGATGAAGAAAAAGGCAAACATCTGGATTTAATTTAAACAGGAAGATTAGATGATGCCAGGAGTCAGGGCATCAGCAGCATAAACAACAGTGGAAGAGATGGTTCTTTAAAAAAATATATTTGCAGAAAAAAGTTTACTGTGAGCAGCGATATGCCTGCGTCATGTTTCACTCAAGGGGGGAGAGACGAAGCAGTAAAAAAAGACTGATCGGTGAAAAACAGCCTCTGAGTCTTATCGAATGCACTGGGGGCGAAAAATAGAAGACTATTTATAGAAAAAGCTAAAGATGGGTTACAGTTAAATGAAAATTAAAAGTTACGGTTAAGAGAGGGGTAAAAAAATAAAGTAAAAGTTTAAGTGTTTAAAAATTAAGGGTAGTTATGGTTAGGAAAACGTTGAAATAGAGAATTCAAATGGAACTACAAAGGACGCTGACGCACCTGCAATTGAAAGAAAAAGAGGGGAGCGGACATACCAAGCACTCCAAAAAGGGAAAGTGTAGAAATTACAAAAGTGACTGCAGGGACGATATAACAATGCGATCAATAATTTAGCGAGTGACACTATGTCACAGTTTTAATCTCCCCTGATTGCATTGATGATAGCAGAAGAGTAGCATTGTCTACTTTGAGAACCTCAGATTTAGATTTGCACAATGTGGGGCTACTTGTGGGCATTATTCCTAGTTTCTGCATAATGTCAAGGAATATACACACTTGTGTTTTTTTTTATCGGGAAATATAATCAATAAAAAATAATTATACATAATATAACAATTTTAAAACAAGTACTTACAGCCCCTGATAATCTTTTGGAGGTTTTACTTCTGAATTAGCCTTTGTGGTTGTTAAGTCCGTTATCCAGATGGTAAGACTAGGATTAGTTTTTCCAGCCTAAAAAAACATTTACTAATTATCAAAATGTATATTTTAAAGGCTGCAAATTGCAACAGATTAATGATAGGAAGGAAACATTATATTTTCAAACAAAGTAAAAGTAATTACTCCAACTCCTTACTGTTATAATGAAAAATAAATTTTCAACTGCAAGGAATGGATAAGAAAAAGGTTAATGAAATAAATTTAAAAAATATGTTTTTGCCCTCTAAAAATTGTGTGTTGTGATTCAGAAACTAGAAATAGAGATCAATAAAATTATAGCTTACTGGGGGCAATAATTTTTTTTTTGTTTTATATCTTATTTATTGAATTTATAAATCAATTAATAAAGCCAACTTTAATAAGTTGATGGAACAATTAATAAAAATTTAATTAATAACTTTCAAGAAAAAAATATTACTGATTATATATGATAAATTAAAAAAATTATTGATTATTATGATATCTTAAAAAAATTATTAATTATCACTATTTGATGTATTAAACCACACATATTTTTAAAACTAAAAAAAAAAAAACAAAGAAAAAAAACCTAGAGGAAAGGTAAAATTCAATAATGACTTTCTTAGGGTTTTATCTTTTAATGGCCAAGGTAAGAACATTATGTCCTATCAACTATGATCTTTTTCATTGGTATATTTTTTAGCTGATTAACATGGAATTATGATCCTCCTAACTACCCCTAGTGGTTTCGCCCCTGATATGATATCTCTCTTTTCAAATTTACACTATAAAAGATTAAACATGCATCTTATGCATTTTGGATATGTCACATTTTAGAAAATATACAACCCCTGACTTATACTTAGAGGTACATGTTGCAGTAAGTGCCATAGCAGTACAAGGGTGCTTCTACATAAAATACATTTAATTTCAAACCTAATTCTGAAAAGAATTATAGAAATTTAATAATAAATAAAATTCTTACTTTTGGATATCTTAAATTTATAATTTCTGGATAGACATTAGTAATATCTGAATAAGGTCCATAATGAGCATACTGCAGTATGTTTACTTGAGTGTCATTGAACGTAACAAAGCATAATTTTTTACCATCATCAGACCACCATAAAGCATGACTGGAACTTAAAACTTCCTCTAAAATCAAAAGTATAAATTTAAAATAAAGATCTTTTAAATATGAAAAAGAATAAAAAACTTTATGTAATATTGTAGAACCTTGATCGATTATTTCTCCAGTGACTATTCATTACGAACGATAGATGTATGAAAACAACAAATGTGGGTCAACTTAAAATATCAAAGAGTGACTTGAAAATGTATGAAAAGTGATAAAGTAATGAACTTGAAAATAAATAAATTTATAATTAATCTAAAATAGTTTAATGCAAAAGAAGGAATGATGGAACATATTTACTTATTTGAAATATCTAGAAATCTTATTTTTAACACACTCTTTTTCTTCTTATCGCAAACAATAATTTTTTGCCTTTTTAACAAGATTGTTGTTTATTTCCTATGAATTCGTATGAATACAGAAAGCTCCTTATTGTTTAAATTGTTTCGACGCCTTCCAAAAATTTTCTCGCAGATTTTGGACAAGCTCACTTTCTTCATTGATATCTCATTGCACTTCTTTAGATTCTGCAACTATATCTTGAACCGACATCAATTGATGCATAAACGTTAAATATGATGTTTGAGGCGTTTTTACTAAGCTACAACAAATCCTCATTTTCTTCTTCATCATTAGCAGCAAGAGTTGCTTTTTTTAAAATTCATTTTGAATTTTAAAAAAAGCAACTTCAGTATTTTCGGAAAATATCAGTAGAATTTTTGAACGATAGAAGCGAGAATCTGCTAGCTTAAACAATCCAAAAGGGTATTATTAACATTATAAGAATAGCATTTGTGACGGGACCATTAAAACAAGAAGATACTTAAGGGGAAACATACGATGCGGGAACAATGAATCAAGATTCGACTGTACTTAAATTTTTCATTTTACACTCGTATGTTAAATACTAATTTTGGATCAGTTATTTTATTTAAATATTTGCAGCACATTTGCTTACATTAAAATTAGAAAAATGATGCTGTTATAAAAAGTAGAATCATTAGAAGGTACTTTCAACAAATTTATAACATTTATGTATTATACAGTGAAATCTCCGGTAAGCGGACATTCATGGGACCAAAAAATTTGTCCGTTTATGAGAGTTGCCCGTTTACGGGAAGGGTACCTTAATAACGAAATTTAACACCGTAAATTGTTTTCAGAATATTCTCAAAGATGTAGAAATAATTAAATGATATCTACAAGGATACTGTAAATATCTACAAGAATATTTATTTAAGCAATAAGAAGGATAAAAAAGAATATATAAAGAAGTTTGATATAAATACATAATTCTGGATGTAGCTACAGATAAATAAATATAATTTTCCTATTAGCATAGATACTCAAGTTAGACATATGATACCAAATAGGAGCGTACTGTCCTCAGTCCGTTTCAATTATTAGGTTCACATCCCCTTACACCTACTTATCATTTGATAGGGAACATGGTTAATACCTTCTTGGAAAATAAACCTCCCATGATTCACAGAAAAAAAAGTAATGCATACCTGTAAGTCATGAGGACCTATGGAGATGATTATTCACAATTGATCAGCTATCAAGTGTCTGAATAAATGTTTCATTTATATAAACACCTCAAAGATTATACTTCTGTTCTCTTTTTTTTACCCCAGTTGTGTTAAATACAGTCTTCAAATTGATAAGAAAATTAAAGAAATTTTCAATGGGGAAGAAGCATTGAGAGAAGTCATTTCAACTTGAGGGGTCTCATAACCTGTGTGGTCCAGATGAAAAGATCAAAAGATGCCGATGTCAGAATTATTTCAGGAGTGCAGTACCATTTTCTCTCCTTTCTTTACAAAGATAAGGCAAGGTGACAGGAGAAAGATTGATTTTTCGGTGGTGAAATAGCTTAACAATATTTTTAGTTATGGATAAGGCAAAAAGTTTTATTTACATGCTTTAAAAATGGTGAAAAGTTGCATTTTTTTAGCTTGCAATTTATTTAGAAAAAGTAGTGTCCGGTTTGTAGAGATAAAAAACAACGTTTCAGGACCAAAATGACTGTCCGCGTCCGGTTACGGGAGTGTCCGCTTTGCGGAGAATGTACGTAATGGTTTATTCATAGAAGATTCCTGGGGAATTAAAAGTATGCCCGTATTGAGAGGCGTCCGTTTTGCAGGAGTGTCCATAACAGGAGGTTTCACTGTACATGGAAGAGAATCTTAAGTTCTAAAATATATTATAAAACTCTACACTCATATTTTTTATAAAGAGCTTACTAGATGTTATTCAAAGTTTGCACAACTTATAAAATATTACAGTACAATGTGTAGTATATTATAATTTAGTCAAAAATAAAAGTTTAAATTAAAAAAACAATTTCAAATATTCAAATTAAACTTTTTCTTTTTCTAAAATATATTCACATTCTTTTTCATCAAATATATCAAGATAGATGGTACGAACTATTGAACTATACATTCACTAAAATGTGAATGTATAGTTCAAGCTAAAGACGTAAGCAACTATAGACAAGCCAAAAAATTATGTAATTATTTTACATTAATTTTACTTCCCACTGGATAATAAATTAATAAATATAAATTTTTCTTCTAATTGAAGAAAGAAATAAGCCTTATGGATTATCCAAGATGGTATTTTTGGGATTAAACGACACTCAAAGATAATATTTGTTACACAAATAAATAACTTTAGGATTTAATGACTATTTAAAGAAATTATTTAACTAGGTATGTATAATAATTATTAGTCACATATTAAAAGTTTATGAAAAGGTCGAGTGAATTTTTCAATTTTAAAATCCTTTTGTAGGAACAATTTCTAGCTAGCTGTATCAAATTAAGATAAAAAATTTAAAGAACAAATTTTAAAACATATATATACATCATTTAGAAAAAACAAACAAAACGGTTAATTTAACATTTTGGATAATTTCATGTGAAAAAAGCAGAAAAGTCTATACTTGGAAACTATATATTAAAGGTTATAAGCCTTTAAAATACAATATTAGCTGTAATAATTTCAGCAAGAGTAACAAAGAGATTTTTTAAAAATAATAATGAATGCTTAATAATATAACCATCAATTGGAAATAACGAAGCAAATATGGATGTAAAGACTATATTTCAGATACAAATACAAGAAAATTGAAAAAATAGAAAAATTATTTATATGCTTTCTCATACCTTCATAAACCCAGTCGGGAATGCCATTGAAAATCACTCCTTCAACACCAGTAGAGGTTAACTGACGTGGTTTTGCAGTGACATCAGACATATAATAAACATTGTTATCCTGCACATATGCCTGAAAAAGAAAAAGATGTGAGGGTAACTCTACATTGTATTTTTAAACAATGTATTTTTTTTACAAAATTTTTTTAAATATAAATAAAATATTTCTTTTTACAAAAATATATTTCCAGTTGCAATATTGTATTGTGTGTAATAAAGAGAGTTAAAATAACTAAATGAGCATTAATGATTAAAAAGGCTTAATAAAGAAAACAGAAAAATGGATGTCTCATAAGCTTCCATAAGGACTATAGCTGCCTGGATCAAAGTATAATGAACTAACGTTTTAAAATGCTTTATGAAGGCAAAGAATACACCAGATAACAATCTCTTTGTAGATGTAGGTGACACAAATTCTGATAATACCGTTTCCGAATTAACAAATTTGATTCGTTTGACCGGAGAAAGGCATTATCAACGGCGATGATTTTTTGAACATTAATAAGAGTATTGAATTTAAAAAAAAAAAAATCAAATATGATGTCGAGAGAGATAATGAAGAAACTGATGCTTTCTGAAAACTTCACGTAATTATCAAACTTGTAACAAAATGAGACATTTTTTTCTTTGTAAAAAGAAGTGAAATTGGAGTAAAATTGATATATTATTTAAAATGTACCTTGAAGATATGGTAAGTTTCAACTATTTAAAGCAAACTTTTATCACATCTATCTTTTTAACCACATGAATATAGAACAAAGGCATATATATATATATATCAAAATTCTTCATCTATTTTTATACTGTAGTTAATATAATTTGTTAAGTTTAAATAAATATCATGTAAATAGCTATAATAGATTATTTAATTATTTTTTTTTTCATTGCAATTATTCTAAAAGTAAATTTATGACAATAGCCTTTGTTATTAGTGCACCCTTCCTGAAAATGGACAACTCTTGTAAACGGACAATTTTTTCAGTCCTAAGAGTGTCCATTTAACAGAAGTTTTACTGTATACTTGTTTTTAAAGAGTATATATATTTATAAATACTTAACTGAAATGTTCATAGGGACAATGGGACTAAAAACATTAAAACTGGTATGATTGCCAAAGAAAACAACTATTTGGAAGGGGCATTGAAGCAATCTGAAGTTTCCTCAGGCAGTCAAACTGGTTTTGTTGTTTTCAATCTCACCTTCTTCAGTAGCGATTCATCAAATTTTAATGGTATTTGTTCCTCACTTAAATATTAATATGTTACCTATAATGTCTACATTTTTATAAGGGCTTTAAAAATATATACATTAAAAGAGGTGCTTACGAAACACTCTATACAAATAGAATGTTAGTATTTCGGTAACTTACCAATTGATTTCCAGTGGGACCCCATTCTGCATATTGCAACATTAGGTTTGGAGATTCCTTGAAAAGTGGAGATAAGTAACTGAAAGAAAAAAATAAAGTATTTTATGACCGTTAATGATATACATATAAGAACAAACAATTGAAATACAAACAGAATAACTCACTCGCTACTAATATTGTACAATAAATATGCAGCTTTGAAGGTATGTCTAAAGACCTGCAAAAGAGATTTCAATTAGATGTTAAGTAAAAGAAGAAACAAACAACATTCTTAATGATTACAAAATAGCCTAAATAAATTTTCCAGTGTCAACAAAAATGTTTAAAAATAAAATTTTAATACACAAATTAAAATTAAATATTATTTCAAAAATGCTTTTTTTTTGCTTAAAATAAACATGAAACGAAGAATTTTTTTGCATAGATGCTTTACTTAAATATTGTTACGAAACCCTTCATTCCAACACAGCGACCGAAATTTAGATTCTTCTTTTATTGTTTTGAAAATTATTTCGCAAGTATGTGTCAAACATTTCTGCAATTTAAAAACAAAATGATTTAATTATCAATGAGCCATCTGATTTAGAAAAAGTTTCAAACAGATTATCAAAACCACTATTTCTTTTGATATTACAGCACAATAAATGTGCAACATATTGAATACCTCCTACATGAAAGAGAGAATAACAAAAGACGCCCTAAATTCTAATTCTAGGTGGTTGTGATATTACATTGTACCCTCAAATTAATATCAGTGTAAAGTGCCATACGTAATCATTAGGTTAAATAATGCATTCACAATCTTTGAAAATTTTTGTTTCAAAGGGAACAATAATCACACTTTTCTTGATTGAAATGTAATTAACTTTTTGTAAAATGTTAGTCCCCATAAGCAATTTATTTTCAAGATAAAATATACTGTCTTTGCATTTATCTAGATATATGTTAATTATCAGTAATGGCTGATAGGAACCAAATTATTATTCAAATAAACTTTACACCTTTATTGCAATATTTTAAGTGGTATTTTTAGAAAGTCGCGCTATTACAAACTATTGTGTGGTATCTTAATTCTAAAAGTAAGCATTGTTTTCTATCAATTAGTCTAGCATTTTTTTAAAACTATGAGTAAGTATATAGGGCATTTTTGTAGATTCAAGATTTGATGACCTCTTGTTATAATCAGATTCCTCTCGATAACCGAGTTTGTTAAATCAAGTGTTGTCAGTATAAAAGCATAATTTTTGTGTAGTGGTTTTTTGATAAATAAAATTTTTGTTTTACTGCCTTAATCTAACACATTTTCATGTGAGCAAAGCAAGTTTTTCACGTTTGAAGATAAAAACTATATATTTTTTTTTTTGGATATGCAATATGATTTAATTGTATAAGTACAAGTTTTTCAGTTCACGAAAAAGAAAAACCACAACTTTATTTGAAACAAACCAATACATGACATTGTATAAACTTCAAAAACACTTTTTAAAATAACTTTTAATAACATGATTATTTTCAGTATTGGGCTTACAAAAGAATTTAGCGGTCATTCCTTTGAGTTATTTTACGTGCCTAATTATATGAACAATTAAGTGCATAAATACAGTAATTTCTGATACAAATGTTGCACCATCATACCATATGCCACATTTATATTTGTAGTCTCCATAATTGCTAAATATTATAAAAGAATGCTAATTTTAAGCATCAAAAATTTAAATTTTGGCAGAGGCCTACTTCTGCAATTTCAAGACACATTAATTTATTCCCAAGGAGCATTTATATATACAGTAGGGAACCGATTATCCGGAACGATCGGGACCATCGCTATTCCGGATAACTGATTTTTCCGGTTTTCTGAATCATTACAAAAAGCCGTTTTTTTTATTGTTAAACCCAACTAAAAAAAAAATATTAGGAAATAATCTTAAAAGAAGAAAAAACGATGAAATAATACAGTAATGATTATTTCTAAAATGATGGTACGGTAAACATCTTTCAAAAAAGAAAAAAAAATTGTAAAATCTTATGAGAAAAATTTTTTTTTTTTAAAAAAATGGTGGAAAAATTCATCGGATTTCGTTCCGGTTTTTTGGTATTCCGGTTTTCTGATTTCCGGATAACGGGTTCTGTACTGTATTTATATTGAGGCTTGAAAGGGGCAGAAAATATTTAGCCAAAATGCAAATGATGTGGTGCTAACCATGCTTAGAATGAACTTTATTTCTAAACTTTTTTTTTTGTTTCTGTCTTTACAAAGTTTGAAGACAATAATATAAGCAGCATTGATAAATAAATAAACAAAAAATTTAAATGAGAGTCGTTACAGATATTGAATCAAAGCATAGCATGAAAAGATGCAGTTTTCAGAATTTTAAAAAATAATTTTTGAAAAGAAAATAAAGATAAAAAAAGGGGGACATAAATAATCTCAAGGTAAAACTCTCAACTCATTATCACAGTCATAGATGATTTTGTACAATTCATCATCAATCAAAAACTTGTCTTGCCACACTATATTTTAATATCACATTAATAGCTAAAATTTAGTATGGGATACCATTTTTAGAGAAACCACTTTAATCTTGCTATTTCAGAATATTTTTGGTAAACATTTGTTTTTGGATAAATCCATGACGATTGTGGAGTTCTCACTCGAGGTCCATGGTAAAATGAAATCAATGTACAGGACGTACTTTTAATAAGAATAGGTTGCAGCTTATCTACCAGAAATTACTGTAGTTAAATAACAAAAACTAATGTAAAAAAAAATATATTTTTTTCATCATAAAATGTTTGTGATTTTTAAATTGTTGAATAAAGTTTAACTTTTTCAGGTTTAATTTTTTAAACATTTCATTTTATTTCATTGTCTGGTGTTATACTAAAGAGTTTAGACTATATTTCTGTTTTGCAAATAGTAATGAACATAAAATTGCAAATTAAGAGACAATACTTTTGAAAAATTGAATAATAAGCAACTCTTACCCTTTCATATCTATGAGACAGTAGCAGATAAAGTCTATCTTTTGAGAGCAAAAACTGAGATATGTTGTACTGTCTCTGTAAAAAAAAACTTATTAAAAAAATAGAAAACATTGAAATACAATTATAATTAATTAAAATTTAAATCATAACTTAAACATTGATATTTTAAAATAAGTGAAAATTTATTTTGTAATGAAAGCAAAGTTTCAAATTAAAAAAGTTGAAATACTAAGAATTTGTAATTAATAAATTTTAATTCTTTTATAATTAATAAAAACAATTTAATTTCTTTTTATATTTACAAAGCAAATAAACCATTGATATACGGCTTTTTGAACACATTTTTCTCAAAAAGTACTAAAACAAAAATAATTTTTCGAATTAATCAGAATAATTTTGGATAAAACCTAAATTAAATATTTTTTCTATTTCTTTATATGTAAACTTTCACAAAACATAAAATGTAGTGATAAATCTAAAAAATAGCAAAATTATAGGTAAACTTAAAAGCTAGTCGTAATTTAAGATCAATAACAACTAGGTGGCTATAAACCATACATACTTTCTTTTCACCTTTATAGGATGCAGAACAGCCACCAGCTGTTTATACTTACAATGATGGAGGGCTTAAACATGTACATAATAAGTAAAAGGGAAATGAATAATTTTTTTTAGTTAAATAATGTTATAGTTTGTACTAGAACGATGAGAGATTTAGTTTAATATTTTTATAACTTAGTAATGTAAAAGGAGACTAAATGTAAGACTTCATATTATGCAAAATTATAGTCCAGAAATTGAAAAATTTAAAATCTACCTTAAAGTTTTAAAAGATAATCTCTGTAAAATTTTAAAGATAAAATCACAGTAAAATACATACAATCTGAAGTTTAATCTGAAATATAAATTATATTGCAGCATTTTATTATTACTCCCTCATACATTAAAAGTAGTAAATACAATTAGTTGGCTTATAGTGAAAATGAAACATATGGTTTCAAGGATTAAGGGGAAAAAACATGACTTACATTCCGAAAATTTAAGTTACGTTAAGCAACAAATTTGAGTTAGTTATAAATAATAGTTGTCCCATGCATTATTTCATCTTCAAAATGGGTTTATGCTTATTCAATTAAAAGGTAAATTACCATATATTTTTTTAATAATTGATAACATTAATACATAACCATTTAAAACATATTACTTAATAATGCTATAGTGTTCACCCTAATGCATTTAGTTTATTATAGGTGAAGTTATAAGTTATGGTAAGTGATAATAGTGAAAATGCTAAATCTTATTATAATTTTATTTATTTATTTTTTGATTTAAAAGCACTCATGGAGGTAAGGCTCCTCAATTTTGAGACTAGCAGCATAATGGTTACTATGTGGTCAGTATTGTTTGTCAGTCGCCTTTACTTCTTAGACCAGTTGAATAGATCAAGTTTCCACCAGCTCTTATATTGACATCTCAAGCTCAAAGCTTTAACCATAGTGTCATTATAAGTACCACTCAATAGCAGAAACTTCTGCATTAATGTGCAACACTATGGAAAAATTCCAAGATTTACCTGCAAACCCTGTGATTAGATATTTGTATTTACTAATGGTCTGTGCTACCAGAATCTGTGAAAGTGATCAATCAAATGAATCTGTGCTACCAGTCATAGTACCACATTATTTCTGCTATCAAGGGCTTCCATTTAAATGTATACTGGCAAATAATTCAATATTTACAAGATTTTATAAATAAATAAAATTTTAAGATTTAATTATTTTTAAAATTAATAAAAAAATTTAAAAATTAACAAATACTGGTTTAACAATATATTTTTTTACTAGGAAAACATCTAAAAGAGCATTTAAATTTTTTTTTTAAAAGAGATATTTTCTTACAATTGTTGTATTAGAAAGCAAAATTTGCTCTGAATTATTTGTTACATCATAGATTCCAATGGCACCAAACGCATCTTGAAATAGGAATTCATGATCTGAAAATAATTACAAAAAATGACTTTAGATTTTCAAACGTAAAAAGTCAAAACATTAGGTCATCTGATTAAAAAAAAGCCATCTTTTTGAAAAGGTCTTAAATAGAGATGAAACTTTCGGAAAATTCAACTAATATGTTTTAAGAATTTGCATTTTGAACAGAAAGAATTAGGAAATAAAAATTATTGTGATAAAAAATTCTTAGGGTTTTCAAACTTCTCATTTTGCATACCTTCGATAATAATTTCTCGATGAATTTTTTACATTTAGTAAAATATGTATTGTAGTAAAGAGAAATATACTATAGTAGATAGTATAGTATAAAGACGAAGAAAACAAAATTAGCTTCCAGAAAACAGAAGCTATGAATTTGATTTATATTTGAAAATATATATGACATATCAATAGTAATAATATAAGTTTAAACCTTCAATACTAGTTATAATCAATTATCATTTGATCTGAAACTACAAAAATGGAATATTTCGCAGCATTATGTCAGAGAATTAGAATAATAATGCCGTAATAAATGTTCCATTTCTTAAATATGTTTCATATTTCAAGAAAGTATAGTTGTGATAATAATCTTTACTTTAAAAATATTTTTCCACTATTATTTTTTTTTTAAAAAAGTATTGTTTCACTGCAGTTATTCTTATATTATGTTTGTATTAAATATGAATGTAAAAAATAAATAAATAAAAATTACATTTTTACAAGTAAGTATCACTACAAATCAATAAATGAGATACATAAATGAAGAAAAAAAAAGGTACAATTACCAGATATCCAAGTTCCATTGAATGTTCTGTAAGAAAAGTGACCTTTTACAACTTCTTCTAATGATATTCTAGTTTTATTTGAATTTGATCCTTTGTCACCTGAAATATATAAAATATATTTCAGCAAATAACAAACAAAAAGAAGTATCACAATTCTGTAAAAAGAAAAACTTCATAAAAAATACACAATCTTGATTATGAATAAAAAATGCTTTTAAATTTCATTTTAAATCAGAAAGAATAATATTTTATAGCAGAAGTAGATCCACTACGTATCAAAGAATTAAAGTAAGCTAATTGTAATTAAAAAAATCTGATAACCATACACACATTTACTTTAGTTAATTGATAAGATATTTTATTCTCTTTAAGCAAAAATAAAAGATCATATCTTTCATTAAAGTAACACCTTGAAATTTTTTTCTCCAAAAAATGCTTAAATTTAAAGCACAAAAGATGAATAACACATGTTTGAGAACCTTTAGTTGCATCTATAAATAATTTTAAAGTTACAATTATACAAATAGGAATTCTGAGTTTTTTTTTTCTCTTCATGTTAGTTTTACTATGTAGACAAAATTTGTTTTGTTTAAAATTAAGAGTTTTAAGCACGTAAATCAATTTAAGAAACAACGGTCCTTTTCGGTCAGCTAGGCGCAAGATAATTTGGTACCATTTTGCTAGCTGGGTGAAAGCAAAAAGTTGCGAAAAAATTTAGACCTCAGCCAATTTTTTTTAAACATAGAAAAATTAAATAAATTAGATTAAATATTAAAAATAGTTGGATTTCCTTGCACCCAGTTAACTAAAAAGCACCCAAAATTAAAAAATTTTTAAAAGCTTTTTTTCAAAACTTTTTATTTAATTTAATTTTTAGTGAATGCCCACTTTTTTCAATGTTTTTTTTTTTTAAAAAAAATAGTTGGCGGAGTCTTAATTTTTTGGCGATTTTTCGCTTAGGTTGCTAACCAAAACATAACAAAATAACTAACTAAGTTTTAATTCAAGTAGTTGTAATTTGAGTTCCTAGAGATTAATAAATATAAATTTATACATTTGAAAATAATTTTTAGTTTTTTTTTAACGTGTTAATTATTTTAGGAAAAATATTTTTGCTTTACTAATGTCTATGTTAATTAATATACATGTTTTGAAATGCAAAAATTTAAAAATATCATTTAACTACATGAACTATTATAAGAAAAATATTAAAGTCAGAGTAAACGGCATATTTATCATACTGAAAATCTAAATAAAAGACACAGTTGAATGCAAAATAATAGTTAGAAATAAACAAGGTTATATTAATGACACAAAAAGAATTCTTTTTTTGCTATATTCATTAAATATTCATAAATAACATAGAAATATTGTTATTAAAATAATACTTATTTATGACAGTATTATCAATGTAATGCAACCACTAATATAGTTATTTTGAAGAAAATTTCAACAGAAACTAAAAGTTCCCTAAGTATGTGAATTATATAAAACATATTTTACATTTTGAGGAACTAATCTAACTTAGTGCCTAAATAATGAACAAATCTAATTTACAATGTGTTTAAACTAGAAGTTCCATAATTATATTTCTTTCGAATAAAATGTATTTAGCATTTGACGAACTTACTTGACGAACCTAAATAGTAAACAATATAATTAACATTACATAATTATTACATGCACCAATATTATGTTTCCATAAATGCTCATGATCATTTAATACCTGGCGTCAAAAGAACTATGGCAGCAACAATCAGAGCACAAACTATTAGAATAACTAGAAGAGCAATACCAATGCCACGCCAGTTTTTTTGATCAGGTCCAACAGCAGCGAGCTCCTATAAATAAATGTTCATATTTAGTTTTAGTAAATTTAAAACAATAGACTAAATAATAATTCACACCCCAACTTAAAATAAATTAAACCATTATAAAGTATTTCATAGCAACTTCTTCAATTATTAATTAATATTTTCTATTCACTATCCACTATGCACTTTTGTTCCATAAATATGCGAACATGATAAGAAACAATTGAAGACTTTAAATAATCTTATTATTTAACTCAATTTAACATGCAAATAAAAATTTAAGATATACCTAAATGTTATATTTTAATGCCTAAAAAAGGAAAAAAAAGAATTCCCTTTTGCTAGTTAGTACAAATGATAATGTCATCTAATCATTTATCAGTTTACAATTTATACCTAATAATACTATAAATTTTTTTTTGTATAAAAGAAAGATTTTTTTTTTTTTCATTTGAAGATATACAAATTTTAATATACAGAAGTATACAAAATGCAAATATATCTTTTCAATTAAAAAAATATTTGAAAATAATTAAACGATGAAAATGACGTGAAATATCAAATTGGCTGCATACATGTAAACATTTAACATAGAGATTTAAATTTATGTTTTAGTATATATGAATTTAATAATAAATGAAGAATAAAATAGTTTCTTAGTAATATATTTTCATATAATAAAGTTTAAAGGTAATAATATGAAATAATTATTTTAAGGAATTTCTTAGCTTGGCATTAGGACTTACCAGAAAATTAAATGCAATTATATTTTTCTGTAAGTGCAATGATAAATAAACATTTATAAATTACATATTAATATTTGATTAAAAAAAGTCTCAAATTAGTCATTATAATCAAAATTAAACACATTTTTATGTAAAAATTAACTATTTTTCATTCAGTTATATTTAAACCAAAAGAATTAAAATAAATATTAGAAAAAAAATATTCAAAATTTTTCATTTTTGAAAAATTTTTTCTTTAAAAAAGAATTCCACTCAAACTATATTTATTAATTGCCTTAAAAGAGAAAATATAAGAATTCCTTTATTATTTAAGTTCATAATAATTGAGATTGTTAACTGCTTTAAAACTGCCTAAAAGGTATATCTATTTGATGAAAGAATAATATAATTTTTATGTTGAGAAACAGTGAACTATTTCAGAATATTTTCCATAAAAATATATTTTACCCATAAATATTTACCATTAAATTATTTAATGTTCATCTGACATCACTTAAAAGCTCTAAGAAGAATTCATTTTAATATAAAATTAATATATTGAAACATTATAAATAAGTTATAAGGATTATATCATTTCCTAGTCAATTGGAGATCTTTTAAAACTCTAAATACAATATTTTAATCAATAAATTTTCAATGAATTCCAAACAACACATCTCCACATTTAAATTGGAAAATATTCTAATACAATTAACACTATAGTAAAATTAATATACAATAAAATTAAAGTTGCAATAAATTCCATTCAGAGAAACACAATAGATTCTTCCTGGATTAAAAACAATAATATATTATTGCTTATTATATACCATTTATATTGTATGCTATTTACCACTTCATTTGACATCATATAAAAAAATATTTATCAAAATTTAAAACTAATAAAAACTTTATAAATTAGATATTAATTTGATATAAAAAAAATTTAATAGTATTTCTTATTTCGGAAATAAAGAAAACTCTTCATATTTCTATGAAAAGCATCTCTTAATAATAAACTGAAATCGTTAAATCATTTACCGTTTCATCTGGCATCTCAAAAAAGCTTCAAAAATATTTCGCCAAAATATAATAACTAATTAACAGAAGCTTATAAAATTAGATATCAATTCCACATTCAACCACTCTAGCTCGCAAAATCTGTATTATTATCCATTGCACACAATAAAAACAAGCTGTTATATTACAAATAAGCAATTCAATACAAATAAGATATCGCTGTCTGTCCCCTTATGTTTATTTACACGCTTAAAAATGAATTGAATTCTGATCGCCATGGAAATATAGTTACGTGAGCATCAACAACAATTTCAAGTCCTTACCCCGGAATCGTGCTGAGATGGCTGGTGTAAAGAATTTTGGGATTGATTACAATTTTGATCTTCTTGATTTAATTTCGTATGGGCCGTCATGTTTTTCATTAAGTATAATTTGCTTCACTGCTTGGATAGAGGGAAGCTACAAAAGCTTCCCTGCCTTACACTGTAAATTACTATCTTAACATAGCTTTGGATACAATAAACAGAGAGTATTAGAATCCAAACAAATCAACGAGATGAACCGGTGGATGAGGGGGAAGAAGGGCTATCGATATGACAGCTAGCCAATCTATCGCCAAAATATTCGCCAACGCAGTCATTGCCAAGGTAGCTGAAGCAACCCCATGGAAGCAACTGGTAATGTTGCGTGATTGACCTGTTTCATTATTGCTCCAGGAATTGCTTTTGTTTGGTTTCAGTTCAGGCAACCACACAAAATTGATTATGCATTATTATTCACATTTTGCAACCTCAAAAATAATTTACTGATATCTCCTTCAAAATCGAATCAAAGCATTAAAATAAATTTTTTATTCCATGAAAAAGAAAAGAAAAAAGATGCAAAAATAATTTAAAAAAATGTCTATTTTAAAATGAATTTTTTTATTCGGTTTGCATCCTGACTATCTATAAAAAAAGAAGAAAAGGCAAACTCTTCAAAATTCTACATTCATAAAATTAATAAATTCACTCGAAGAAAAGGAAGATATATTGCTTTAAAGCACTCATTTATGTGTATTATTAATATTTCCTTTTTTAAAATAAATAAGATATCATAATGGACGCGTATTGTTCATAAAGGTATTAATGTACTACTTTTGATATTTAAAAGTTTCTTAATGAGCACACTGAATTAACTAAGGACATAGAAAATATATATCACTCAACATTAACAAAATATATACAATCTCACAAGCTATTGTTATATTTCTTCAGAATTTCAAGTTAACTTATTGAAATCTTGCATTTAATGGTTATTTAGAAAATTCTTGTAACTTATTTTTTAGATTTAACTTATTTTTTAGATATATTTTAGATTTTTGTAGTTTTTATTTAATATTTCTAACTGTTTAATAAAACAAAAAACATTTGATTCTTAAAATCGGACGCTTGGTCATACAAAAAGAATAAACACGAGGCTGAGAAGAATGTTAAAGTGGAGACCAATGATCTCAAAACCTAGAGGATGATCCAAAAGCAGATGATTAGTTAAAGTAACTATAATAAAAGCAATCTATCCACAATAAAAATCACAAATTGGAAATTCAAGCTAAGAACAGAAAAATTAGGAACAACTTTGTCTAGCATTCAAGCTAAGTCCCACTGTGGACTGTAGTGTCATAATTTTATTTTCTTCTGACAGCTTTTATGTTATCTTTGTTAGAATCCATCCATGTATTAGTTAGTCAATCAGTGACTCAGGGGATAGAGCGTCCTAATAAGGTGACGCAGGTTCGAAACCCAGCGATGTTTGGTGGATATGAATTCTACTCCAGGCTCACCCTAACCGAAATTCTAACGTTAAATATTTTCAGTGACAGACAGATCATGGGTTAGAATCCCCTTCCCGTCGGTCTAACCGTAGGAGATTTTCGTGGTTTTCCTCCCCATATAACGCAAATGTGGGTTAGATCCATCAATAAGTTATCAGCGAAGGCAAGTTTGCCCCAATGCTTGATCTGGCAGTTCTATAGTCTTCTGGGTTGAGTTCAAAGTTACGAGGCTATGAAGTTGAGCATTAATAGTCGTTAACTCAGAATTGAGTCTACTGCTTAACGCGAGTCATAAAATAAAATAAATAAATCCACGTAATTCATGAAATTTATTTCTTATTTTTTAGATAAGCATGAGTGTTATTGATGTTTCTAGGTATAATTTTAATTAAATATTAATCGAAAAATCAATTCTGTTGAAATTTGTAAGTATTGACTGATTTTTACAGAAAATAAAATTTTTTTAAACACGTTGTAACATTGTAGAACTGAAAAATGTGTTTGTTAAATGAAGTTTAATTAAAACATGATAAATCAAGATATTAAAATATAAATTTTATTTTGCAATAGAATTAATTAAAAAATCAATTTTATCTTTAAATTTTATTAATTTTGTAAGCAAGATAAGGCGCTGGAAGTATTTGTTTTTGACATCAGTTTTCTAGCCACATTCGACATTGCAAAATTAGTATATTGTTTGTTTTTTCCTATAAAAAATTCAATTAATAAATACATATTAAAATAAGAAATTGAATGATTATTTTCAAAACTTAGACACAACTTAGACACTAGACCTAGGCACCTACATAAGATGAACATATGTGTTAAATCAATCATATAGAAACAGCTGGTTTCTGGTTCATTTATCTATTGCATAAACCGAGATCTGCTATCACCGATAAATGACAAGTTAAAGCTTCTGTCTTTCTATTATTAAACTTTTACTGTCATAGTAAGAAAATAAACATCCAGCAATCTCTTATTGATGTTGAAAACAAATAATCGCGGAGATCAATATCGAGCACGAAAGTAAATGCCTTTGTAGTTTAATAGTGCGATAAGAAAAATGAGTGAAAAAAGCAGTTTGCTTTGGGATTTTAATAATATCCAACTACTATCCCTTTAACGGAGAATTTTTATTAAGCATATTTTTCGTACTTTTTTCATTATTTTGTATTAATGTAGGACAAAATAAGCGAAAAAATATTATATTTAGCATTTTAATACTTTATGGTTATGAAATACAGCGGGGTCTTTTTCGGCGTTGAAGGTGAAATCCTCTAAACACGGCTCCATTTCAAACAATAATTTTTTTATATTTTCACTTATTTGCAGTTATTTAGGTTTAAGAGAAACAGTTGTTTTTCATTGAAATTTCTTTAATTTACAAAATCAATTATTGGTAAATTATAGAATGCGAATAAAAAAATTTTTTTTTCTAGCTAGTTTTTCTTTTTTGAGGGGGTTTA